ACCACACCACGAGAACTCAAACTTTGTTGTAGCACACCCTTTTATTAGCGTCTTAACTATTCACAGACGCACTATATCGCAGACTGGCGTCTGCTCTTACAATTTCTCTCCCTGGCAGGGGAGCCCACACCTTGAAGCGGCGCCCCGCCTAAACGAGGTATAAATAACGTTACTCTCCTCTTCCAACCAAGAGACATAAAACAGATAAACCCCACTAAGAAAGACATAAATAATACGTTTTTTTTATTTTGGACCTTCTTGGGCAAAGAAGATTCCCACCCCCCGTGTATCCGCCACTTGTAGTTTGGAATGTTACCTATGAAGTTGGCAACCCAGCGTCTTTTCCACTTTCTTTAAATTAGACTCTATTTAATTTATCCTAACTGAATTTCTATATAGTCTTTGGTTGTTTTTAACTTTTATCGACTTTAAGTACTTATATAAAATATAAATTTTTTACTTCATTCTGTTAAAAATTTGACCTTCTGAGCTCACAACCTTTCTTATGACTGTGGGTCCAGTCAGGTCAGGGGCCCGTGGTATTTTGCCAGTCTTGCCACCCTATAGTTACGCCATTGATTTATTCATTAATGTGTTTTCTTCAACATTTTATATTTTTAGAGGACCATTGTAAATGACGTCAATCGCACTTCTATGCATCCCAGAAAAATCTCTAATTTATGTAAAGAACTTGCATATATTTATAACTATATTTAACGATGACTATAATTATCTAAAATTGAAAAGCTGTAAAACAATTACATTTATGATTTACTCACATTTAAGGATTATTGTTTACTTAAAATAGAGGGCATTAAAGTGTTATACGCAATATACTGTCTTGAACACACCCACCTGTGATTTGACCTAGACCGAGACCTCAGCCAATAAATATTCGGATTACCAATTTTTTTGTTTTTTTTTTACAAAAATATTGCTTAATGGGTAGTATCGTTTGTCCTCGCACCAATGTTGACAGGTTTTGAGAATAAACAAGAAGGTTGTTGTACAAGGATGTGTTATATATTAAAATATTTACTGGTACTGGTACTACTAAAATGTTTACAAGGTGTTATGTATTAATATAAAGTTTGGCAGGAGGCTTGGTAGGTAAATATGCGAATTGCCTAAGAAATATTGAAAAAACATGTGATTTTTGTCTTGGTCACCTTTACGTTAAGATGAGTGCAATACAAATAGTTTCATATTTACATGTAAATACTAACAAAACAAAACAGAATACCATAAGAATGAAGGAATTAATTTAATAAATACAACACTAAAATTAACAACCAAAGTGATAAAAAATAAAGTGAACGAAATTATACCACAAGCAGAAAATACCAAGGTTTTAGATCGAGAAGAACTTGCACCGATTTAGAACTATGCTTTAGAACTTAGCACTATTTAGAATGAGGCAAATGCAAGAGAAATCACTAGAATACAACAAACTGGCATATCTATATTTCGTGCACCGTAAGAATTCATTTGACAGGGTAAAATTAAATGACACTATACACTTAACCAGTATAATTGCAAAATCTATTGCAGGTGTGTGTAGTTAAACCAAAAGTTCCTGTTACAAAAAAGAATAAAACAGCAATGTCAATTAAAAATAAATCAATAGAAAACAACATAGTATTTACAAAAGCAGACAAAGGTAACACTACTATTGCTATGGATAAATTAGAATATAATGACAAAACAATAGAATTTTTAAATAATCAAAAAAGTATCACAAACAAATTAAGCTGGCGTTAGAAAGTTCAAAATCAATAGTAAATCCAACAGAACAGAAATACCTAAATATCATGAACCTTCCTAAATTATACTCTTTCATTAAACTATCCAAACCAGATCACAAAATAAGACCTGTAGTTTATTTTTATACAGCTCCCTCATATATTCATTGTTTTAGAACACACTAAATTTTCACCTAAATTTACCATAAAACATACAATATAACTAGTTAATAAAATACAACATTTTCAATTACCTAACAACTCCAGATTAATTTCATTTGACGTAAAAAATCTTTTTCCTAATATTCCCTTATAGAAACTTTTATTCTAGTAAAAAACCTTTTTTACCAAAATAGTACAAGTCCAATCATTACATCTGAAATTTTATATATTCTTGAAGTTTGCATAAACCAGGACTACTTTGAATTTAATTATCAAATATACACAAATAACAGTGCAGGATAATGGGCAATCCTCTAAGCTTATTGATATCAGATATTTTTATGGATCATCTGGTCAAATATTTCAAAACATCCCATATTCAAACAGTTTTTATATTGGTGGAGATACGTAGACGACGAACTGGTATGTTTCACAAGAACTAACAGGCAACTCGACCAATTTTTATCGTATATTAATTCACTTCATAGTAATATTGCATTTACCATAGAAACAGAACAAAATCAATCCATAAACTTTTTAGACTTAAAAATAAATATGACTTCTCCATATTTCATAAACCTACCCATACTGACACAACTATACACAATTCATCATCTCATTCCACACAACATAAACTGACAGCCTATCATAGTATGTTACATAGATTAACAGAAATTCCGATGTCAAAGTACAACGTTGAGACAGAATTAAATATCATTAAGCAAATAACAGTAAACAATGGATACAACGAACAAACTATTAATAAAATGTTAAATCAAAAACTACACATGAATGTCCCGAAATTAGTATTTCCACCAACAGAGAAAAAACCCAGTACCTTCTGCTCGATTACATATACAGGCAAAACGTCACAACTTTCAGAACAAATAACAACTTAAGCAAATATATTAAAAACAACAAGAGCCAAAATAAAAAACACTTACATAGTGGTGTGTACAAACTTAAATGTGGCGACTGCCCAAAAACTTACATCGGTCAAACTGGTAGAAATTTTAACAAACGAATAGTAGAACAGGACATAAAAGGGCTTTCAGGGACATAAAAGGGACATAAAATTTAAAATTTTTCACATTTAAAATAAAGGCCTTAAGCTATCTTTGTTAGAATCTATGGAAATCAACAAATTACAAAACGCATATAATTCTGAATGACCAACTTGAGACAAATAGTTCTCCTCTCCTGAACCTATTTCATTAGACTATAAAGTGTAAACGCATGCCAAAATAGATCATTTGAGAAAGGTCGTCTGCCGAAACAGCTGTAGTGATAAGATTTTAAAATAAATTTTGTGGAAGTTTGAAAACAAAGTTTTCAGTGTTTTATTGTTACATAAAATGAATTTCCATTAAGTAACGGTCGAATCCATCAATCACTATCGACTTATTGTATGCAAGGGAGATACATATAGAAATAAACAAAACGATTGAAAATATTAACCAAAACAACACAATAAAAGTAAAAGTAGAACAAGAAATAACTGAACCAATAGAAGCTGTCAAATGGCAAAAGGCATGAAATCCCTTGAGTCCTCTATGATTCAACCTAATTAGGAATCAAATATTATAAAAAGTAAAACCTAAAAAAAGATACCAAAGGGGAAAAGTTCAACTTAAAATAAACTGCTATGCAAACGACGCAACACTACTATTTCAAAGTAAAGATGGTTTACAACATAATGCTGCACCAATTTATGATAACCACCAGAAAATTTAAACGTAATAACGCAAGAGAGATACCTCTAGAAATAATCAAAACGATTAAGAATATCTACCAAAACAACACAATAAAAGTAAAAGTAAAAGAACTAACCGACCCTATTGAAGCTGGCAATGGGGTAAGACAGGGAGGTTCATTGAGTCCTCTATTGTTCAACCTGATTATGGATGAAATTAAGGGATTATGAGAAAAACAACTTAAAATAATCTGCTATGCGGACGACGCACTACTACTCTCTCAAAGTGAAGAAAATTTACAACATGCTGCACCAATTTAATATAACCACCAGAAAATTTAACATGTTAATTTCCACAAAAAAGACAAAATGCATGGTTACAACAGCAAATTTACTAAGATGTAAATTGGAGCTGAAAGGTCAGATAACAGAAGAAGTGATGGAGTGTTTGAATATCTAGGCATCACATTATCTAGCTACGGAAAGCTCGAAACCGAAGTAGAAGATCAAGTGAATACAGCAAACAGAGCTGCAGGCTGTCTAAATGAAACAATATGGAGACATAAAATCATCAGAAAAGAAACGAAAGGCAGAATTTAGAAAACAGTTATCAGACCAATAATGACATACGCAGCAGGAACAAGACCTGACACAGAGAGGACAAAAAGGATGTTAGAAACAGCAGAGATGAAAAAACTTAGAAAAATTGATAATAAGACACTATCGGACAGAGCTAGAAGTACAGATATACGACGTAGATGCAAGGTGGAGAACATCAAGAACTGGGTAAAAAATAGAAGAGTAGAATGGAACAATTATATAAGCCGAATGACAACAAATATAGTAGTAAAGACGGCAAGAGACGGTTTCCCAATAGGAAGATGATCAGTAAGAAGACCACAAACACGATGGAACGACAACTTACTGGAGGCACATTGAAAAACAGACAGAGTCATATCTATATAAAAAGAAGAAGAAGATAAAGAAGAATTAATGATAAAAAGACCGAAAAGATGAACGAATAATATAAAAATTATAAAAAGGATTTGTATCGACATATCAATGGAATAGATAAACTTAGAGAATAGAAGTCAGGTATTGGAATGCAGAAGAGGAAGAATTGGCGATATAATGTAAGAACTGAAACAAGGAGTTATAAGAAATATAAGAAGTTTCGAGAAGGAAGAAGATACACATCTATTCAATGCCCATTTATATATTTTATTGTCTACTAAAAGTTTATTTAATTAACTTTATTTATTATTAATTAATTTTTGATCACATTTAAATGATGCGGATTTAAAATTATTATTATTAAAACTTTTGTCACTTCTAGAATAATGCTTGCTAGTTTTTATCGTACATACACTAATTGTTTGTAAGAAAAAATAAAGTCTACTCACCACTTTGATTGTCCATAAGGTCATGATAACTATCAATTATATTCCTAATAATTTGAGCCATAACTATATCTGTAACAAAAACACAACACTTAGTAATTGTTAAAGCGTGAAAATGTTCGTCGTGTGTTAATTAACCGCATACGACCAGTCGACACATTAGATATGTATAAACGACTTCTATGTGTTGGAGTATTTATTATTTTTTAATCATCTAGCAAATGAGTGAAGACATTAAGATGTCGTATTCATGTTTGGTGGTATTTCTAATTAATAGGGTAATTCCCAGAAGCCCAAGTTCGGATATATTGACGTCTGTTAATTTTCTTAGTCTAACTAATAAGTACCTATATGTTATGAAATGTTCTTGACAGCTCATACTATTTAGCAAAATAGATCAAAAAGCGCTTTGAGTTTTCCAAAGTAATTTTTAGAATTTACGTAGTATTTTGGTAACAATGAATGAATTGAAAACAACTTTATGGTTTTATAAATTTTTAAGAATGTCTAATTTTATACTAAGAATTTATTACGATTTTATATTTAATTAACTCGTGGTCTGATAAGGAACCTCCTTCGCCAATTAAGGTGCTGCAATGTCAAAAAACGTCAGTTCTAGAAAGTCTAAGGTATGCATGTCAAGGTTTAGCGCAATGCAGTGTCATTAGTATATTTTTGACAGCTGCATAAAGTTGGCGTTTTTTGAAAAATGACGCACTTTGAGAAAAATGATTTTTGATTTCTCATCAAACATTATTATTTGAGAAAAAGGACGGCAAGAGAAACAAAAAAAAAAACGCTGGATAAATATTATGGGACTAATGCTCCTTCAAACTACACTGTCACATGTTAGTTCCAGGAATTTATTAGTGGCTGCATATCTATATTGGATGAACCACGTACTGGACGACCCTCCGATACAAATATACCGATATATAAATCGATACATAAAATATGACGAAATCCCATGAAATGGTTTTAGTTGATCGTAAATTGAAGTTGCGTGAATTGGCAGAGGCTACAAAAATTAGTAAGGGGCACAGTACTCATATTTTAAACGAAGTTTTGAATATGAAAAAATACTACCAAAAACATAATGGTATGACCAGTTCTCAGCAGCATTTGGACCTTGTAGACCTTACAGCAGTGGATTGAAGCTAACAAAATTGCTCTGAAGCTGATAAAAGTGACTCAATAAAGGTAATGACCAGTGTATTCATGCATACTGCTAATGGATTATCTCAAAAAAGTTGAAACCTACACCTACAACAGTCAATATTGTGCAGTATTGGACAAATTGAAGTGGGGATTCGTTGAGAATCGGTCCCATACACAGAAGAAAAAGAGTTGTTTTTTTTTTGGCTTACAAGATCATTACGACAATGGCAAACTTTCAGGAGTTGAATTTTGAATTGCTTGCTCATTTTTGTTTTATTCTTCTGATTTGGCCTCCTCCAATTAGTATTTGACCTGAAGCAAGGGCTCGTAATTAAAAATTCAACTCGAAAAAAATATATAATTGATCAGAAGGCATAAAAAAGTTTCAAAATTTTTGGAAACGTTTTTTGAATCACTGTATCAAATAAAATCAAAGCATTTTCTGGAAAAAGATATATTTCATTTCCAAGGAGAGTGCTTATCAGATCACCTAGTATATTATTTATATCTATTTACATCAATATTTTTTTATCAATGTTTGTATATGAGGATAATGTTTTTTAACAAGAAAATTTATCTGTATTAGGCAGTGTGTGCACGAAGTTACGTTGTAGGATTATTTATTTCCGGAAATAGGCACCTAGGTTAAAGCACCTAAAACTATTTAACCACATTATTTAACCACCTCAGTAAACATAGGAAAGAAATATTGTTTATTTACAGTAATTTTATGGGTAGATAATATTGTGCGACAACTTTTAGTAATGTTTTATTATGTATGTTGAAAATAAACACTATGTCTTGAAGTGTACAAACCACGTTTTTAGAAGGTTTTTCACAAATAACTCAAAAAGTAAATTATTATCGAAACATATTTAAACATGTAGTTTATAAAAAAATAATATTGTTCTGAAGCTATTTTCTTGTGGTATTTTAAATTAAATACTATTTAACTGGGAATAAGCCACAATTAAAGATAAAAATACGTTTATTGACGTTTCAATTTCCACTTCGGAAATCGTTCTCAAAATACAAACAGTAAATTAAACAAATTTTGCTTTTTGTTATATAGTGAAAAATTCTTCTAATAATTTAATTTATCTGACTCATTTATATTGACAATTCAGACATACATTATGCATTTGAAAGTAGACGACTTTAAAATGATATTGCCAATATTGTTGAGTTGCGCTCCTGGGACGACTTTACTTATAAGATAGTTCATTCGATTACATGAAATCAACTTTAACTTGAGAATATCCGTCAGAAAAGTATTATGATGTTTTTTTCCTGGTTTTTCCTTCATAATTTACTATGGAATCACTAACAGGAGAATTTTACTGTCATCATGTTATGTGTTTGTCTTTTTAAAGACGAATTACATGCTATGATTTTTTTCTGACGGATATTCTCAAGTTAAAGTTGATTTCATGTAATCGAATAAACTAAAACAAAATTTTGACTCTTGGTGGACGTTGATTGGTCAATACTTTTATAATAGATTTCCATATTTAGGAAAAGATAACGAATGCAAAACTCAGTCACTACTAGAACAAGTTATTCTCAAACTGCTTCAGCCATTTAAAAAAAGAGAGAAATATCACTACCGACACCTTTTTTACATCTTTGCCATTGGCAAAAAGTTGAAAGACCAAAATACTGGTATCGTTGGTACGATACGCCATTCAAGAAAAGATATTCCTTCTTTGTGCAAAAATTTGAATGCGGCCAACGTCACAACCCTACTGTCTACTAACGAAAGCCGACACAAAATGTAATGACCTTGAGTGCAATGCATTTACAAGTTGAAATTAACAAAGATTTAAAAAAAACTTCCTGAAACGATTACTTCTTAAAATGCAACAAAATTTGGTGTTGATATATATTGATATATCAAATGGCACGCAAATATACAGTGGGAGCTGGTAGCCGAAGGTGGCCTGTATATGTGTTCTACAACGTGTTGTATTTGGCAGCAATTAATTCGTGGATTGTTTATAAAGAAATAACAAAAAAAAATATCGCGGCACGATTTTATTCTACAAACTATTGGCGAACTTAGAACAGAATATGTAAAACAGAAAGCAGTCTCCAGTAGTGTTCAAATTTCCCAAGCACCTGAACATTTGACGATAGATGAAAGTAGTATAAATAATAAGAGGATGCAGTTTTAAATAAATATTAATTGTAAAAAATCGAACATGTGAACTATGTAATATTTGTAGAAAATACGTATGTGGCAAATATACATACTAAGCACATTAAAAAGCACATTATTTGTTCAAAATGTCAGAATACCTTTGATTAATTTATATATTTAATTATAGGTACTAGTATTATTATACGTTTAGTAAAATATAGTTTTTTATAATAATTTGTATTTAACTTGAATTAAAGTAAGGAATAACTGCTTTCTAAGTCCTACCGTCAAAATGACAGCTGCGGCACTTCTAGGTATGCGCCGGCCTTTCTAGTGTTAAATATAGTAAATAGTTTTTCATTTTCTTGAAATGAAAATTAATCTAATTGCCAGAAAGCCTGATTTTCGTATTTTTAAGTTAAGCTAAAATTAGGTTTCACAATATTTATTATTATTGGGATAATAACGGACTCCCTAAAATACCAGTAGCGCCGCGTTTTAAAAATGCTGACTTGAATAAATTATCTAGCAACATGTGTCGTATTTCAACATTTTTTAATGGAAGTTCATAAAGTCCTACTGTCACCAGGACCTGGTTCAAGATAAAAATAACTTACAAAAATATGTTTAATTATTAATTATTAATATAAAATTTTATTAACAAACCTATCTCTAGTTTTTTCTCCAATACCAAATATTTTATTACTCATCGCCTCATAGATTAGTTAAAATACTACAACTTGTTAAAAATTGTTGATTCATTGTGATTCTTAACGAAACAAAAATGATTTTTCTGAACTTTACTGAAAAAAATAGATAGCAATTGTTTTCAATGGTTTAATTCCGGGTATACATAAGAATATCGATAACGATAAAACGAAAGAAACTTAAAACACTCTTTATCTGCAACAAAGCACCGTTAAAGTATTTTACACATATCATACTTATAATTATTGATTCTTAAATATTTGAAATTTATCTAAGGTCGTCAAAGTAATAAACACTTTTATCTAATAGCTATTTAATGTGAATTTCTTTCTACATAGGCACTATTTCTACTCGTATTGTACATAATCGTTAAAACAGTTAAAAATAACTGTGATGAATTGAATATTAAATATTTATAGTGTGGTTCTTAATCGTTGACAGCACAGTTAGTACCCTCATTATAATATTATATTTAAAAAGCGAAATATCTCTTACATAGTGATTCTTATAATTTTACAAGTGATGCCAAATTCTAATGCCAATGCATAAAGATGGCAGTATTTTCTGGCATACTTGATACTTGCCTCATAATAATATGCTCATATTATGCTCATAATACTAGGAGTTTAGATTCCTTTTAAAAGGCGTCGGTACTATAAATTTTTCGACAGTGGAAGAGATTAGGGTGTAAATATTGGTAACTAACTTTTTAAACTTTTTAAGAGACGCTTTTGAAGATCAAAAATTGTATGTAGGCATTATAGTCAGTTTTTAAGATTTTTATTTATTATATAGTAAACTTTAATGTTTATAGCAAATACACTTAAAAGTGTCTGCGAAAATAACTATCGGTTCTATACACCACAGTACGACGAGTCATTGGCGTGTGGTTATTATTAAAAAAATTATCATGATTTTAGAATGAACTGATTGTCATAAAAAAATATTTTCTTATTTTATATATGCTTTAGATCAAGAATCCTTGTTAAATATATTTAGTTTTTGAAAAATCTTTTATTAGTTCAAATTAACAAATTTATGACTGATTTATGAAAATTGATCGTCC